TATACTGAATTCGAATTATTTGATGGTAATCTTACATCTCTTGGAAGTCAAGACCTTAAGACAAATATCTTTAAAATTGCCTAAACTATAGCTTATGCTTTATCAGAAATTCATAAGTCAAATTTTATTCATTATGATGTAAAGCCTGATAATATAGTATTCAAAAAGATTAAAGGTTAAGAATTTAAGTTTGCACTATGTGATTTCTCCTCAATCCAAACTCTGGAAAAGGCAAAAAATGAAGAATTATTCATTGAAGCAACACCTCAATTTGCACCTCCAGAAATTTAAATTTAAGGTATTTCTAAAGATACAGATGAATCAAGCGATATTTGGTCATTAGGAATGACTCTATTCTAAAAATTACAAGTTATTAAATTAAATAGGGGATATAAATGAAAAAGTACCTACTAAAGTTGAGACACCAGAATCTGAAAGAAGAATTTATGAACAGCTTGCTCTGTTTCAATTAGTATATTCCGAGGTTTGATATCCCTATATTTTAGAAAATATTTTGCTTATGATAAATGTTAGAAGGCATTTTTTATATCATTGAGTGTTTATATACACCACTTAAAATGTATGATGCAATTAATCATCAAGAAAATACTTCTTTAAAGCTATTCTTTTCTCTATTACTTTCATTAAATTTTCATCAGCTAAATCCATAGCTAACCCTAATGTATAAGCTTAGCTTTAGTCTTCTGATTTGATAAAGCATAATTCTATAGCTTTTCATAATTAAGAATTACTTTACACAGTTTATAACATTTAGATGCTATTTTGATAAACTCTTTAAAATTAAGAATTCTTTCTTGATAGTTATAAAAAATTTCTCAGTTTTAGCATCAATCAATTTTACTGATAGATATTGACTCATAAACTGCACTTAATCTTATGATTTTCCAATTCTTAGCTTATTCTACTTTTTATTTTCATTTGTAAACTGCACTATATGTTTTCTTAATCAAAATCTTCACAAAATTCATATATATTAGAATTACTCATAAATTTTATATATCAAAATATTAAAAAAATATAATTAATCACACATAGCATTTGTTTGTTGAAGGATCAAAGTAACAATTTAATATTGGATCATATATTAATTTTACAAAGTTTTCTTATTCCTTCCTATTTTCTAATATTAATGTTGCTGCACCTTATTTTGTAATTGTAGTACATCCAATAGGATTTTTTATAGCAATTTCTACTTTCTGACTTTCTTGATTCTCAATAGCATTAATTGCATTAATGATATTAACAAAATCTTCATCCTCATTCAATATTTAATTTTAATCTTTTATTTCTACATTTGTTTATTAATTTTTATCCTATTCAATCATTTTGATAAGTTAATCAATATTTTTTAAATCTATTTCATCATTTTCTAAAACTTTTTATTTTTAATTGAGTTATAATGAGCAATCTAAAAATTCATTTTCTTTGTTTTATTCTTTTTTTTTGGATTTGTTCTTACAATTTGATTCAGAAGCATTTAAAATATTCTTATGTTGTTCAGGAATTTTTTAAGGATTTAAAGTTAACTTTTACACTTTAGGAATTTCATATTAGATCTATTTAAGTTTAGCTTATTTTTGTGCCTGGATGTTCGTTTATTATTCTACATTATTTTCAACAAAAATTTATTATTCATTTTGAAATGATATAAAAAAGGTCTTGGGATTAGATTCAATAGGATATTAAAATTATGCCAATAATTACTCATTATAATTTTGCATTGTAAAAATCCTTCTAATGTAACAAGAACTTTAAATTAAAATTGATTCTAAACTTCTGTAACTAGACCCTTTAAATTAAGATATAAAAGACGGCATTTAAATTAAAATGGTCGTCCAATTATTATAGATTGATTAGGATTACAAAGGGTAAGAAATAAAAAATGGTTTACATTCACTTTTTTTTAAAGAATTCAAAATAATTCTTCTTCTTGTAGATTTTGTATCTACAACAAATAATTCAAGATGGATAGTGTCTTTAAAGTATCCTTAAATTCCAATAATAGGATGAACCAAAGATAATTCAGTATCCTTTCCTTATGGCAATTTTACTTATTTAGTCATTAATAGGTATGCTGTTGTAATCAATTTAATCTTTACTTTTTAAGATTGGATTGTATTCATAAATAGAAGTTTGAAGATCTATCAATTTAGAGTAATGTTTTAGTTTTTCTTTATTTCCATTTGAATTTTTGGCATCTTTTGAATTATATACTTCAAATATTGGGGATTGATAACAATTTAAAAACATAAATAATTATTAACTGTCATTCTTCTTTAATTTAAGAAAGAATATAATGTTTATAGCCTAATTTACGACTATATTCAATAGTTTTATGAATTGGAATAACTAAAAGAGCTGTTCCCAATCCAATACCTTTTTTATAAGCCATAGCTCTTAAGAATTTTATCCACAATGTTGGCTTCAACTTTGAAAATTCAACATTAGCATTGAGATATTCACTAACTATTCTTGCACTAAGAACAAGGGGTATTGATAACAAGATTTAATACTAAAGTTTTGTCCATTGCTTTTTATCAAATTCATCTTATTGGATTTGAAATAATAACACCTTCCCCATCATTTTTTTAAAATCTGATCTTTAATGATCTGTTAGAAATTGTAATCTTTCAGCAATTTCCCTCTAAGATAAATTATTTAATTATTCTCTTATTTCTCCCATAAATAATTTATTAATAAAATAATAATTTTATTAATTCATATTACCTTCCCACAATATAGTAAACTACATTGAATTCAAGAATAAGTATNAATTTATTATTCATTTTGAAATGATATAAAAAAGGTCTTGGGATTAGATTCAATAGGATATTAAAATTATGCCAATAATTACTCATTATAATTTTGCATTGTAAAAATCCTTCTAATGTAACAAGAACTTTAAATTAAAATTGATTCTAAACTTCTGTAACTAGACCCTTTAAATTAAGATATAAAAGACGGCATTTAAATTAAAATGGTCGTCCAATTATTATAGATTGATTAGGATTACAAAGGGTAAGAAATAAAAAATGGTTTACATTCACTTTTTTTTAAAGAATTCAAAATAATTCTTCTTCTTGTAGATTTTGTATCTACAACAAATAATTCAAGATGGATAGTGTCTTTAAAGTATCCTTAAATTCCAATAATAGGATGAACCAAAGATAATTCAGTATCCTTTCCTTATGGCAATTTTACTTATTTAGTCATTAATAGGTATGCTGTTGTAATCAATTTAATCTTTACTTTTTAAGATTGGATTGTATTCATAAATAGAAGTTTGAAGATCTATCAATTTAGAGTAATGTTTTAGTTTTTCTTTATTTCCATTTGAATTTTTGGCATCTTTTGAATTATATACTTCAAATATTGGGGATTGATAACAATTTAAAAACATAAATAATTATTAACTGTCATTCTTCTTTAATTTAAGAAAGAATATAATGTTTATAGCCTAATTTACGACTATATTCAATAGTTTTATGAATTGGAATAACTAAAAGAGCTGTTCCCAATCCAATACCTTTTTTATAAGCCATAGCTCTTAAGAATTTTATCCACAATGTTGGCTTCAACTTTGAAAATTCAACATTAGCATTGAGATATTCACTAACTATTCTTGCACTAAGAACAAGGGGTATTGATAACAAGATTTAATACTAAAGTTTTGTCCATTGCTTTTTATCAAATTCATCTTATTGGATTTGAAATAATAACACCTTCCCCATCATTTTTTTAAAATCTGATCTTTAATGATCTGTTAGAAATTGTAATCTTTCAGCAATTTCCCTCTAAGATAAATTATTTAATTATTCTCTTATTTCTCCCATAAATAATTTATTAATAAAATAATAATTTTATTAATTCATATTACCTTCCCACAATATAGTAAACTACATTGAATTCAAGAATAAGTATCTATTTAATTTAGAGAATGAAATTTATAGCCTAACTCTGCTAGACTTAATAAAATTATTCGGTTTCCATGTTATTTCTAGATAATTAATTGATGATCTAAAAAATTAATTTGCATCAATTTCATTTAAATAATCAAATATTTTTAATATAATTTAATGTGATGTCTTACTCGAATTATCATAAGACAATTTTATAAGTTAATTTATAAATATTACTAATAAATGATTTATCTTTATATATAACAAATAATTCTATGACCAAAAATATTTCTATAAACAATAAAAAATAGTCATAACACCACAATTATTAAAAAATAGTTACAGAAAATTTCTTTAGTTAAAAAAGGTATCCAATAATATTATCAACTCTTATTTTTTTCTTATTATTAATTTCATTACTGTTTATTAAGGTAATTTTACGAACTACATGTTTATAATATAGATCATCTTCCTTCAAAAAATAAAATTTACATGAAAAAGAATTTTTCTTTCATTTATAATTATTATATATAAGATTCATCATTCAAACAACCAATTAGATAATTTTTTTAAATACTTGAGATAACTATTACAAATTTATCTCAAACTGTTCCTAGTTTTTGGTGATACTATTCAGTAGCATTTAAATTTCTGTAATATAATTTTTATTATCCTCAATATTCTACAAAATATACTTATTGATTTTTGTACTTTACAAAATGAACGTTTTTGATTTAATTAATTGTTTATCATCACAACAGAATCATTAATAAATAAATTTAGTGCTAATCTTAGGCGTTTCAATTCTTCATACATGCTAGTTTGATTATTGTTAGATTTATTATTACTAAATTAGAATAAATTTTTACTCTGAGATATTTTCAAATTTATTTTTAATTTAGATAATAACATCCTTAAAATATTAATCAAAAGTATTATAATCACCGATTTATATCAGAATATTTTGTTGTTATAAAATTTATTCGATTGGTTTTCTTAATTAATCAATTTAGCATTTTTAAGATAGAATAATCTCTTCTATAATATTCTCAACATTAGACTCATAGTCATAAAAATTTTCATCATTTTCATCATAAATTTGATGGCCAACATATTTTTAAAGTATTTGATATGTTGACTTTTTAAGACTATAAATTTCTTTCAAATGTCTATTTCTTTTATCTTTTTGTGCTTTATTAATTAATTCTCTATATAGTACAAAATTATTCTACATTTTAGCATTTAATTATTTAATTTTCCCTTCCTTTTCTTATTCCAATATTTCAAGCTTTTTAATTGCTTATTTTAGTTCTAAATTTGCAAAACTATTTTCTAACAACTTCTCATTAATTGTTTCAATTTAATTCTATAACTCAATTATCACTTTTTCGTATTCAGTTGAATCTGTTTAGTTTTAAAGATAGCTACTATCTTCTCCATATCTATCATTTTCCTTTATCATTTATTATATTAATTACCTAAAAATGAATATCGAAAATAACTAATAACACTAATTATAAAAGAGAATAAAAGAGAGATATGTGTATGAAGCTAAATTCTTAGTAGATCAATGGAGGTAATAGTCTTTTTAATCAACTAGATCAATTTTTGATTAGAGACACCTTTAAGATGGAAAAATGATCAAGCACACACTTGACCAAGCAGCAGAAATTGTTGGAGTTTCAAGGAAAACTTTAGAAGATTATTATTATTGCCTGAAAAAAGCTGAGAAAATAAGTAAGCAATTTTATCTATAGAGTAGTTGATATTAATTAATTTATGAATTGTAAAATGGGAGTAATTCGAAGAATCATAAAAGAACATAAAAAATAGTCAGACGAGTAAAATATAATTGATACAAATTAATTCTTTGCACTAGAAAACGAAAATAATGAGCCAAGAAAAAATAGTTTTGAATATGATGATTGAGTAACAATGATAATATCTATTTGTGTAAATTATAGACACTATACATTATTTAATATGCTATTAATGTCAGATTTTCTAAATAAAATTTCATAAACAATTATTCAATTTGGAATTATGAAGGTAACTTTGAAGGTAACTTTTATTAGAATCAGCCATAATTTTGCTAAATTAAAGAATATAAAATTATGTTAAACACTGCTCAGTAGTTCTAAAATAGATAATGAATATTTTTGAAAAAAATCAATTTTTGGTTGAGAAAATTTTATAGAAAACAATTTTAAATTATTGTGTACAAAAAACAAATTATATATTTGGACTTTTTTCTCTATATACCAAAGTAATTATCTTTTTTTAAAAATCTTAAACAAAGGAAGCTCTATGAACAAAATTTGTTTTTTTTTAAATTCTCATTTATTAGGCTGGATTATAAAAAGATTATCATAAAGTAATAATAAAAGAAAAAAAAATAATGTCTTATTTAACAAAAATAGAATAAAGATTATTGTTAAAATATCTTTAAAGTGAGATTTCATGCTTCTCTAATAATATTTAATAAGAACATATTGAAGATTTTGAAAGAAATTAAATAAATCAGAATAGACCAACTATTTTATCTTTTATTTTTATATAAAAATAATAAAATCATATTTTCTGATAGAAATAAAAAAAAAAGTGCTGAAGTAATATAAATTTCATTTCTTTAATGAGATTGACGATTTGATATATATTTTAAAAAAAATTTCATAATACAATAGTATAAATCAAGAAAAAAAAGATATAGATGATATTTATAGTAAAATATATAATCAGTATATTTTAATTTATTATATTGGGTGGATTTTTCTGGAAAGGATGCAAGGATTTGAGTTAAGATAATAAAGTAACATGGTTAATGATGAGATTATCCATAATTTTAAGTTCATTATATAATTAGAGAAAAATATTTTCATCATTTGTGTTGAAAAAGGGATAAAAGATTAATGGGGAAGTTTAAAAATATCATATAAGATGAGTAGGGATATAAATATGGAGAATGTAATGATAATAGTGAAATAATTAGATTGATTATAAAAGTAAAAGAAATTAGATTGAATGAAAAATAATCCGTTTTTAATAAATTCTTTGCTATAAAAGGAAGAGGATTTTCGAAAAAAAAATCATTATTAAAATGAAATCAATCGTGATTTTGGTTTTGATTGCCACAGCCTTCGCTACAAACTTAGCTGCTTTTGAAAAGCTTGAGAAGAGCAAACTTGGAAAGACATTGTTGAACACAATTGCCATCCAAATGTAAACTGGTGAACCACTCGAAAGAATCTTCTAAACACTTTATGATTTGGAAGAAAGATATTAAAACGATTAAAGAGAAGACGATGCTGAAAACAAAGCTTTCTAAGGTGTTTGTGATGCTGATCTTGCTGGACTTAACTAAGAATTAGCTAACCTTGAATAAAGAGACACAGAATTATAAGCTCATCTTGATGAACTCCAACCAGTCCATGACTAAAAGGTCGGATAAAGAGTTGCCAAATTAGCTGAAAAGGCTCTCCTTTAATAAGTTATTGATGAAACCACAGCTAAGAGATAAGCAGAAAATGATGATTTCGAAGCTTAAAGAGAAGAATTCACCTTTGTTTCAAGTGTTCTCGCTGAAGCAAGAAGACTCTTCACAGATAACTTATAAGCCCCAGCTTTCTTATAAAAGGGAGCTAGTGAAGCTGTTCACTATACACCATAAATCTTTGCTTAAGTTGCATCACATTTGAATGCTGCTGCTCACAAAGCTGGATAAATGAAACACGTCAGAACTTTCGGAAAAGCCATCAAACTTATGGCTTAATTGGCTGTTAAAGCTTAATAATATGCTAACTAAGAATTAACAGGAAGAATCATCTAATTGATTGACGATTTATAAAACTAATTATAATAAGCTTTCGATTTGGCCAGAAGAACTGAAGATTCAAGAAGATAAGCCTTTGAAGCTTACAATGCTCTCTTAACAAGAGATATGAATAAACTTAACTCAGCTATTGCTAACTTAGAAGCTGAAATCTAATCATTGGCTGATTAACTTGCTGCCACCCACAGTGCTTAAGATGACAACACAGCCAGACATGAAGCCAAGACCTAATAAAGAGATGACAGAAGAGCTGAATGCTAATAAGCTGCTTATGAATACTAATAAAGAAGATCCGCCAGAGATGGAGACAGATAAACTGTTTCTGACTTAATTGGTCATTTGAACACCAACATGAGAGATTTGAAAGAATACATTGCCATGAGAGTTGCTGCTGGTGACACCGATTTAAGTTAATGATTTATGAAAAATAACCAATTTTCATTAAAAAGAATCCCATTTTTATTATCTCTATTAAATAACAACATTTATTGTTGTATGCATAATTTATTCAACAACATTAACCCTTATCTTGTTTTTATTTATTGCTCACTTGTTAAGAACCTATCTTCAAAGTAGAGTTCGCATTTTCACTATTTGATTTTCTATGCTCTTCAGCTAATTACTCTTTAAATACTCGTTCTCCTATTTATAAAAATGTTTCCTAAATTTATTCTATCCAATACTTGCACTCCTAAGTTATCTTTGCAACTTGTCTTAAAAAATATTGCATTCCATTGTCTTCCCAATTCCTTACCCAAATCATCTTCTACTTTCTATTCCAAATCACATTTATTCCCTATTATCGCTCTAACTTCACTATTGTATTATTTTTACTTTAATCCAAAGGTCCCTATTCTTACAATTACTTAAACCATTCCTTCACACCTTCAAAACTTTGTTAATCATTCACATCATATACCAAAAGTGCTACTTTTGCATCTCTAATTTACTTATTACATACCTCTGTAATATAATGGCAATATTGCTTTGTATTTCTCTTAACCTGCTGTGTCCCATATCTAAAATTTCAACGCTTTTCCATCTATTAATATTGTTTTGCTCTAAAATGCTGCTCCCAAAGTCGGTTAACCCTTTTCAAAAAAATCATTCTCAACAAACCTATACAAAAGGCTACTTTTTCCTACTCCTGAATCCCCTAATAGAACTACTTTTATTTCTTTTATCTAACTCATTTTTATTTATTATAATTATTTTCTAAATTCCTTACAAATTTTTTATTTCACTTTTTCATGATTCCTTCATCGTTTCAATTCATTTTCCAAATTTTATTTTTCGATTAATAATCAAAATTATTATTAATTGACATTTTAGATCCTATCTTTTACAAACTTCTATTTTAATTTTAACTCAAGAATCTAAAGTTGTTTATCCAAAACCAAATATTAAACAATTAAAATTAGATGTGAAATATATTGAAAATCAATATTTATGTAAAATTTTATTTCTGTATAAAAGCTTAATTTTTGATAAATGGTTTATTTTTATAAATGCAAATTTACATAAGCCAATGTATTAGTTGCTGTATAAATGAAGTTTCAAAATCAATTACTATAGCAATTAGTTATACTATGAAAAACTAAATAAATGTCTTTTAAAGATACTTTCTTATTTGTAAAATCAAAAAGAACTATTGTTTGCTTTTTAGTGTAATTGAAAAAGTTTATTTAGTACTTTGCTGGAAATAGACATATATAATATTTATAATCAAAATCATTAATAAAATTTCCATGGTATTTTAATTTTTTCTTTTTATCTTCCTTCAATCCTTTTTTTATGTTATTAAAAATATAATTAAATCGAAATAAATGAAATAAATTTTGTTCAAAAAACTATGTTAGGTATCTCTAATAAGTGCGATATTTTTTTTCTTAAATTAAGATTTTCATTATTAATAAAATCCAATAATTTTGGTATTTTTTCTAAATTGGGTTATTTAACTTTCTCTTTTTTTATTTATGTGCTATATAAACATTAACAGCTATTTTGTGAGGTTTATTTTGGTTATATTTATGCAAATTTATGTTTGAGTTTATTGGGATCTTAAATAAATTCAATGATTTCATAGGCTTTAATTCTATCTTTCTTTTCAACTCTAAGCAATAAAAGAATTAATTATTTTAATTGTTAATTATCTTAAATATCTTTCTCAACAATATTATCAATAAAATTTTAATCTTATTTTTAATCAAGATTATCTAAATAAAAATAATAATAAATTACCTTGTGTAAACATAAAATGTTAAGAATAGAGATTGTATAGAGTCATTCCTAATGACCAAATATCGCTTGATTCATCTGTATCTTTAGAAATACCTTAAATTTAAATTTCTGGAGGTGCAAATTGAGGTGTTGCTTCAATGAATAATTCTTCACTTTTTGCCTTTTCCAGAGTTTGGATTGAGGAGAAATCACATAGTGCAAACTTAAATTCTTAATCTTTAATCTTTTTGAATACTATATTATCAGGCTTTACATCATAATGAATAAAATTTGACTTATGAATTTCTGATAAAGCATAAGCTATAGTTTAGGCAATTTTAAAGATATTTGTCTTAAGGTCTTGACTTCCAAGAGATGTAAGATTACCATCAAATAATTCGAATTCAGTATATAAAAAACTACCTGGTATATTCTCTATTGGATATGTTGTATTTTTCCATTTAAAATCTTTTAATTAATTCCATTACTCATAATTTTATTTGTAATATCGATTTTAGATTCTAAGTGCAACTTCTTCTTTTTGCTCTATTGAATTTATAAATTTTTTTGATTTGTATACTTTAGCACTTGCTCCAGTTCCTAACATTTATTCAATATGGTATTCAAGATTCTAGTACTTTATTATATTGTTTTCATTTGAAACTTGAACCTTCCAATCATTTTACATTTCTATTAAAAATACTAACTATTTAAACAAAAAAATTATCTAATTCAATTTCATTTATTAATTCTCTTTCATATATTTATATATAAAACAAATTAATATTTCATTATTTTATTATTAATATATATCAATTTACAGAAAGCTAATAATTTTATCTATTTTAAGTTGGATTAACACCTCTTTAGTTAAATTAATATTTATTTTATTATTATTATTATTATTATTATTATTATTATTATTATTATTATTATTATTATTATTATTATTATTAATCTAATTATTATGATCTATCGGATAAATTAAATTAATTCTTTTACTTTATTTATGATGATTAAAATTTAGTTGATGGGTTTAAAGATGTATTGTTTATTAAATTATTTTGCATTTAAGATCCTAAATTGTTTGCTTAGTTAAATTGTTATTATTGCTTATTCTAATTAAATTCAGAATTATTGTTATTTTTAAGTTGATTCTAGAATTGAAAATCTTATGATTATGGTTGACTTGTTGTTCTATTCTAAATTGTTCCATTTTATTGTATATTTTACTATGCAATCTGAGTATCTCTATCATTAGCAAATGGTTAAGCTTAATTTCTGGAATTATTAATTTCTCTCTAAACTCCAGGAGTTGTAACTCTACCATTGGCAAATGATTAAGCTTAATTTTTGGAATTATTAATTTCTCTATAAACTCCAGTATTTGTAACTCTACCATTAGCAAATAGATAATTTTATTTTTGAGAATTATTAATTTCACTTTAAGCTCCAGTTTGTGTAACTCTTCCAATAGCAACTGATTAAGGTTATTATTACTGTAAATTATTATTTAGATTAAATATTTATTTAGGTTATTGTTAAGATATCTATTATTACTAATTATTTTTTGAATCTACATCTTAATATTAATTTGTAATATTAGAATTTTGGGGAAAAATATTTTATGAA